ACCTGCCCGTTCAATGGACTTGAACGGGATCCTGAATCTGGAGGGCTTTGCAAACCCTGCGCGGGGCTCGCGGGGGCGCGTCCTCACCCGCACGCACTTGAACGCTCAGCAGTCCTTTCCCAAGGCTGTTCCCTCTTTCCGGGGAAATAAAGCCTAGATTGGAACCTTCTGCCGGCTTCCTCACTTGGCCGTCTGGTCTGCATTAGTGTTTTTATAAGGGACTCAAACAAATCGAATACAAGGTCACCAAATAATTAACAGTTGTGAATTCCCTCCATCCCCATTAAAATACTTCCCTGCTTATATTTCATTTTCCGTTTGCCAACGACAACAGGGTTCGGGCAAAAGCCCGGCTGCGTTGATTGCACCACTCTGCGGCCCAGGTCCACCCAGAAACTCGCTGTTTTGCATAAACACACCGCGCCAGACGCACTTCAATCAGGAGGGAACGATGCCGCTCTTAGAAGTGCTTCCGGCCGCCAGACTATCCCCACGACTGTCCTGCCCTGCCCCCTGGCAATCGCGACCCAGAAGGTAAACCTAGAAGCCAGCGATCCCGGGCAAACTCTCCCGAGGTTCATTTCCAGGGTGTCAAGTTCTTCAAGGATGTTCAGATCTCGGTTTTTTGGGTGGGTTTTTTTTTTTTTTTTTGTTTGGTTGGTTGGTTTTTATCTGTTCCCTACTGCCTCCTTTCTGAGAGTGCTATTGTAACAACAACTAGAAAAAAAAAAAAAACAGTATCCTTATTTCAAAATTATCTGGAAACCTAACTCACAGCAGTGTTGTTAGATTCATTTTGTTTTCTTCATCCTTAAGAGGCTGTTTTTTTTTTTTCGGGGGGGGGGTCCCTTGTTGGAATTAACGTGGTGCTTTAGGTTAAAAAGTATGAGTTTCACCTCATTCTTAAAACGCTCTCCCTCACCCTCTATCTTACAGCCACACTGAACTCACAGTTCTCACCATCTGCCTTTCCCAGGTCCCGGGGTTGGGGATCCAAGCCTCCTGTACTTGTGGTCTTTTAATGTTATCATGTGCTAACTGCAATGTCTGTATATCCAACCTGGTCCATCCTGATCCTATGACTGTGCCAACACACACGCATACATTTTCCCATCTCTGTGGATCCAAAATCATCTTGAAAGCACAATTTGGAGGCATTCTTAAAGGTCAGGGCTTCCCTGGTGGCTCAGCTGGTAAAGAATCCGCCCACAAGTAGGAGACCTGGGTTCGATCCCTGGATTTGAAGATCCCCTGGAGAAGGGAATGGCTACCCACTCCAGTCTTCTGGCCTGGAGAAGTCTGTGGACTGTATAGTCCATGGGATCGCAAAGAGTCGGACACGACTGAGCGACTTTCACTCACATACATGCTATGTGAAAATTACCTTTAAAAATTAAAGATCAGGGATAAGGTGGGTTTTGACTTTTACAGGGATATCAAAGAAGAAGCAAGGTGCATCTCAGTTTTAGACCTGTGAATTCAAAGTTTCATTCCAACTCCTAACTGCGTCTTGAGAGATTACAGAGGTAGGGAGTCTGTCAATTTTTTCTACTTCTGTTTGCTGCCACCATCCTTTAGAAATCTCCTCTTGCCTTACTCTATCCATATAGCGCCAGAGATAAGCATGCAGAACTGGCTATATGCTTCAGCTCTCATTAGCTGTGTGACCTTGAACAAATTGCTTAACCTCTCTGCCTTCTTTAAAAACATCTGTAAAGCAGGGATTGTAGCACTTTCTTCCTGGGGGAGGGAGGTGTTGCTAGAATTAAATGAAATAATTCATGTAACAGATGTTAGCCAAGCATTCGGTACACAGTAAATGCTCAACATGTCAATATATCCCAGTTATATCGGAAAGCAAACTGAAAGGGTGGGCATATTTTTAAAAGTTTGCCATCAAGTCTTCTCCTGGTGGGTTGAGAGGAGGAGGCAGGGAGCGAGGCAGTACAGAACATGCAGTCGTCACAGATCTAAAGCGCTCTGAATCCATCCGCGCTGGGCAGAGTTCATCCGCACGCTCCCATTCTTAAAACGCAAGCTTTGGGTGTAACTTTTGGGGTTCCGGGGTCCCCAGGTGAAGAAGACTTTTTTTAGAAATACTGTACGTTAAGTAGTCCAGGCCTCAACAGCGGGCTTCAGGATTCCTTACGTGGTTTTTGCTCCTTCCCCTGCGGGACCCCTTGCTTCTCAAAGCCAAGCCTGCCACACTCGACGGCGATTTAAACATCCCCGAGGCAAGGCGCCAAGTCAGCGCGGCCGGCGCGGCTCTCGGTTGGCCGCTTCTCTTTGCTCCTAGTCCTGCCATCCCCAGCTGGGGGAGGGGAGGCCCGAGGGTTTGGCGCGGTTTGAGAGTCCCCACGTGAGAGGGGCGGAAGTCCTCGCCAGGAGCCCGGGATGCGCGGCTGGCGGGTCCTTCCATCACGGGAGACTAGACACCGTTTGATGTGTTATGACATGAACCCTCAATTAGATCGCTGAATTGAAACACTCCAATCAGGGGCCCGATGCTAAGCAAGCCCCGGAAGGTCCAGCCCGAGGTCACCGCCGGTGACACATCAAATCAAAATCAGTGAGAGGGAAAGTGAGGCTTTCCCTTTATCAAGCTGGGGCTGTGGCCCGCAACGCACCCCCTCCCCTGCGCGCCCCCTCCTCCGCGCGCCCCCTCCAGCCCGCGGCTTCGCACTCCTTCGCCCCCGCGCGGCGTGCTACCCGCCGCACAGCCTTCCTGCTCAACGAAATGCCTTTCTTCCCGTTTTCTGGGAACCTGAGGGCTCGGGGGAGACCGCTCCTTGGACGCGGCTGGCCAGGTGGTCAGGCCGCGTCTCCTCCGGCTGGGGACCGCGTTCGGGAGTGGAAGCCGGACGTCTGGATCTCGGTCCGGCTAGCCTGGAGAGCTTGGCTCCGGAACAGAGCCCCCCCTCCCTCAGCCCCCGCCTCCCCCAGGCTGGGCGCGCAGCCAGTCCCCTCCCTACCTCTGGCGCCCAGGGGCGCCCAGCGCGTTCCCCGGGGAGAGGCTGCCGCGCAAGTCAGGGTGAAGCGAGCCCGCGTCTGCGCCCGACCTGGAGTCCCCAGAGACCTCCCACACTTGCCCCGACGCCGCAGGCTTCGGTAGACGCCTCCCAGGAGCCCGCAGGGTCCCCTGGTCCTGTGCCAAACTCTTGGGGGGCAGCTTGCGAGTTAGGGGGCGTCTGTCTGGGGGAGGGGCAGAGGTTCTGGCCACTTCCCGTGGGCAGAAGAAAAGGCGCGCCCAACGCCGGCCACCCTGGGCCTCCGGGATTTCTTCCCCTGGGGAAAGGCCTTTAGAGTAATTCTCTGTTCTTCCTCAGTCTCTGGACTGGGGAAGTCTGGGGTAAGTCTTCGATTAGAGAATGAGAGAGGATGAAGGATACACAGAGCATCTGGAGGCAGAGAAACAACAGAGGTAGGGCTAGGGTTGGAAGTGGGGTCAGGGCGAACTGCGCCGGCAGCAGGGAGGCCGGGGACCCTAATGCAACGCTACGAAGAAGCCACTTGTATTTGCCAAGGTGGCTTTACTAGTCCTGAAATCACCATAAAATACCTGGCGTTAATTTGCCGCCCAGACCTTTCGGCAGCTCGTGAACCTCGCTGACCTCCGGCTGCAGACGCGAACGCCTCGTGGGCTGGACCCATGCAGGTCAGGAAGGCGGCGGCAAGGAAGGGGGCTTGGGGCCTGAAGCCTGGAAAGAGCTGGGGGCTCAGGGCCTGCTCTGCATATTTCAAGGGCGTGCAAGTCCCGAGGTCAGCCGGGTGGTCCTCTCGGTCCGAACCCCGGCATTGGCCAGTTCCTGGGTGACCCCACTTTCACTGACCTGGAAGTGGGAGGCGGGGAAGGTATAGCAAAGCCGAGGAGCTACTTCTGGGCGGGTGGCGGAGTGGACCGATGCCTCCTTTTCTCCTCGCTCCCTACCTCCCCTTTGCCTTTTCCGCCTTCATCCCATCTCCTTCCACGTTATCGTCTCTTTAGGAGCTGAGTGCCCGGCGCCGGCGGATCCCTCCCCAATTTCTGGGACCAGGGGAGCGCGCGGTTCTCTCCAAGGCACTTGCCACGCTGCAGACCCGCGCGGGTGGCAGGGAGGGGGCTCAGGGGTCTCCGCAGACACCCACACATGCACCCGAGCCCACAGAGGGGCCCAAAGACGGGGCCCCTGGGTCGAAGCGCAGAGAGAGGCGAGTTGCCTGGCTGAGAAAGCTGGGTGAGCACACCCAGGCACCCACGTGGATTAAGTACCAACAAAACACCCAAACTGAGCCCACTTGCCTCTGCTCCCGGCTCTCCCAGCCAGTTGTTGCCGCTGCCTCTGCAGAAATGACTTGGTTGCGGCCCCGAGGTCGCGGGGCTCCTATGCGGCTGACCATGCCCACACCCAGCGCCGGGAGCCGTCGGGTACCGGCGGAGCGGCTGGACAGGGGTACTGCCACCCGCCGCTCGCGGACTCGCTGCTCCGGACCGCGGCACTCGCTTCTGCCGGCTTTTCCCGGAGCCGATGGGAGCTCGGGGCTTCCCAGCGCTCGCTCGGGTCCCAGGGCCGCTCGGTCCGTCACCGCGCAGCTCTGGGCCTTGGACCGCGCACCCGGTACCATCCGGGATTCCTCGCCGCGGGTTCCATCAGTCCCCTCCGCGACCCCTCTCCAGCCCGGGTCATCTACTCGCCACCTCCCGCCTTCCACGCTTCCTCTAGCAGCCACCAGACGTGCGGCCCCCACGCTGCTTTCTGCAAAAGGCGAGAGGAAGAAGGAAGGAATAGAGAAAGAAAGAAACAGACGAGAGAGAGGCAGGGAGAATTGCACACTGGAATAAAATCTGCAGCCGCGTTCAGAAACGTACTTGGGCTTGAGAAAAAGCAATTTAAGAAAAGAAAAGGAGGAGGTATGCACAGCGGGAAGGCAAATTCACAGATGCAGGGTCCTGCCAGCGCCGGAGCTGAGCCCTGGCGGCTGACCTCCAGGGAGAAAGGAGTCGGGCGTCCTCTGCCACTTACCTAGTCCCCTGTCTACAAAGCTAGTGATCGTATTAGCCGACTTGGAAGACTGGAAAAAGCTGGCATTGATGCCCAGCTTCTCGGCGATGGCGTAAGTCCTGTAGATTGACAGCATGTACTCGTGCGGCACCACGCGCGGGCCCCCGCCGAGAGGCTCCCGAACCTCGGGCTGCTGTGGCGGCCGCCTCTGGGGCTCCCCCTGCGGCCTCGGCTGGGGCTCCTGGCGATCCAGGGGCGTCCGGGCCGTGGCCTTCTCTCTCGGCGCCCGCGGCATCTTTCCTTCCTTGCGGCTTCGCATTCCCTTGGCGGAGCCCAGCTCGGCGGATGACGAGGAGGAAGAGATGGAAGCTTGCTGGAAACCCGGCAGATCCCACAGGAAACTGATGAGGAAGACGGCCGAGAGCAGGACCCTGGAGGTATCCATGGCGAGTGTCTCCCCGAGAGGCGGCGGCACCGGGCGCGCGGGGCGGCACGGAGCGGCTGGACAGCGGCCGGGGCCCGGCTCCTCCGGCGGACTCGGAGTGCGAGGAGCCGGGTCCCAGCCACACAAATCCCGGCCCTGCCACGCCCCCTCCCGCCCCTCGCCGGGAGGGGAGGGGAGAGGACGGAGGGGAGGGGAGGGGAAAGGAGGAGAGGGTGGGAGGAGAGGCCGGGTGGTGTGGGCAGGAGGTGTGGGGGAGAAGGGGCCGCTGTGGGTCGGGGTGGTCGGGGAGGGGGCAGGCAGCACCCCCGCGGGACGCGCGCGGGGTTGCCGGGCGGTGCGTGCGGAGCGGGGCCCGGCGCGGCGGGCAGGAGTAGGCGCGCGAGGCCGCTCGGAGGCAAGGAAGCCAGGGTCCTCCGCAGCGCCAGAGCCCCTCCAGCTCTGCTCGAAGCTCGGTCCCTCCGCAGCGCCGCGCTGCGCGGGCTCCCGGTCTTCCCCCCACCCGCCCCACCTCGGTCGCCTCCACTTGGCTGGGAGCGTGCAGCCCCGGGAGGAGGCAAGCGGCGGCGGCGGCGGCGCCCCCCAGAGACAGCTCCGAGCAGGCGCCTCTGCAGCCGACTGTGCGTCGACTCCGGGCGGTGGTACCTTCCTTTCCCGGCCCCGGCCTCCTGGGCCAGGCGATCGCTCCCCCTCAAAGGCCAGCCCAGGGGCCAGGGAAGCCTCTCGCCGTGCGCGCCAGGCGTAGGGCTCAGCCCAGAACAGCACCGTTCTCTTGCTGGGGTTGCCGCTTTCCACAAAGACAAGGCGTCTGTTCCCGACCCTCGAGGTCACGCAAAGGCCAGGAGTCTTTGGAGTCTGGATGGATGCTGAAAGCTGCAGCGCTCTCGTGCAGGCCCCAGCCTCTTCGGACGCTGGGTTTAGGCGACACTTTTCTCCTCCAGCTGTCCCCGCGGTCCTCTCCCTTCTCGAGGGCTGGCCCCCGCCTCCAGTGCGTCCCCATTTTCCCCTCTTTTCTTTCCCTCCCGCCTTCCATACTTCCTCCTTCCCCAAGTTCCTTCTGCATTCCAATCCCTCTTTCCCCAGCCTGCTTTTCTTCCCACACCGCCCTCCCATCTCTCTCTGCCTTCCCACCCTCTCCCTCCTCGGACCCCCCCCCCTTCCCTTTCGGTGGACCCCTCCCTTTGCAGCTCTTCCCCAATCTGTTTCTCTTCAGCTCAGCCTCGCCCGGTCACGTTATCTGTCCCCAGATTCCCCGTGCCTGTCTTCTCCACCCACTGCCTCACTCATTCCGGGGCCTGACGGCTGAAATCGAAGCGGAGGGGCTGCCTCTCACTCGCTGGTCTCCGTGCCCCTGGAGCGCTGTGGACGTCGAGTTGCCCCGTGCTTTTACTGGGTGCTCCCGGCACCGACCATAAAATTCTCTTGAATCGCCCCAGGTTCTACGGGAGGTTGGCCTTCCAGTTTTCCACTTTCACAGATTTAAACAATGAGACTGAAAGGGGATAAATGACTTTTCCAAGGACGCTCCGCCAACAGGATGTGGGGCCAGAAACAGAATCTAGGGGCGCAGGCTCCAGACCCAGTGCTCATCCCATTCCTGGGCCGGTGTCTCTACTTCATTCTTGCTTTTTTCTTTTCTTTATGGTTTTACTTGCTGTCAGATCATTTCCTCGCCCACACCGCATTGTACATGTGTGTGTGCGCGCACACGTGTTCCCAGTCTTCGTATTCCCCACCCTCTCACTTTCTTCCCCCTTCTCCCTTTTGCTATTTCATTCCTCCTTCTGTCCCTGCAGAGACCAGTCACCTGACTGCGTGCGTAGAGAGGAAGTTTTGCTTCCTTGCTCCCTTCGTTCCCAAACTTCCTTAAGGTCTGGGCACTGGCCTCCCTAGGTAATGGCAAACACCCGAAAGAACCTGTTTCCTTTCATCTTCAACATGATCTTATGAGATCAGGGTTGTATTATCCCCATTTTACAGCTAAGGGAACAGAGGGCCAAGTTCACACTGCTCCAGAACCTGACTCTTAACCGCTGGGCTATGAACTGGCCACTCTCCTCTCAGTCTCTGCCGTGGGTGTCCCTTCCAGCTGTATCCCAGGCCTACTTATGTCCCAGTTTTCATTTCAAGATTATCAAGCTCTGAGATGTTAGACTCAAAGATGCCTTACCATAACCTTTTCTTCCTTCCTTTCTCTGGACTTCCAAATAGTTTATTTATTTATTTTACAAACTTAACAACATAAAAGGAAGTGGAACTGAACAAAACAAATTGTTTTTCAGATTTTTGCCACTACCACAGACTTTCAAAATGTGCTTGCCATTATGGATCCCCTTGTAATCTGTCTCTGTCTTTTGTGTACTTATGATTGTCATACGAGGATAGATGTTATGTCGTATCCACCCCTTGTCACTTAACATTATGTCCAAAGCATGTCTGCTGGTCCTTCTTTCCGTTTGCTGGTTTGGTTTGGTTTTATTGCCAAGGCCGTTTCCTTGGATGTGTGTCTTCCGTGTCCTTTCTGTCCCCTCTGCAGGTCTTCACCAGCCCTCCCCCTCCCTGCACATGCCACCTCTCCCAAACCACAGACTAAAACCCCCTGTTTCCCACTTGAAGCATTTCCCCTTCCGCCTGCCGCTTGTATTCTCCCGTGTCAATCCAGAGAGGCCTCCTCCTTTCAGTCTCTCTCCATCCCTTCCCTCGGGGAAATGAACACTTGTGGTTTGGGTTATCAGTATTTTAATTTCTGTCGTTTCGGAGTCTGATTAGTGGTGATTCATGGTTTCAGGCCCCACCCCCACCCCCAGTCAATAAGAAGGCTTCCTGCTTGCAGCCGCTGTCCTATTATGTTCTCTCTTCTTTTTGCTCATGGCAGTTATTATCTGCCACAAGTTATCGGTAAACAGGAACCAAAGTCATCAGCCTATTGTACCTTAGGAGCACTGGATGGAGTCATGGGTAAGAGGATATGACACTAGGATAGGGACCACAGAGGATGTGGTCTGTTCTCCCGGCAGGATTCCGCTGGTGCAGAGATCATCCTCCTGCATCGCTACCAGACTCGGGTCCAAGCAAAGGAGGTGTTGGCTCTCCTTTGCCTGAAAGCACTTCTCATGACACCGGTGAGCAGACGGACAAACTCAGTGAATGGGACCCAAGGTCACAAGCCAGTCAGGGATCTACTCACAACTAGGAGGGAGGCAAGTCTTTCTGACTCTTAATCCAGTGCTTTCCCTATACTGAAAAGCATTTCACATCTCAAGTATTATGACAATGATCCCCAGTAAGGGATAAAACTGCACCTCTTCCTCCCTCGTGGATATATTTCAAATAAGAATTTCAGTATTAACAAGGCCACACTGAGGCCTTTGCTCCGTGTGCGTGTGTGTTTATGTCTTGTAAGAAATAAAGATATGAGAACAAACTACTAAGATCTGCCTCTAGACCTTCTCAGAACATTTTGAGAATTTGAAACAATGTTGTAGAGTTTTTCAGTCCAGTCTTAGATTCTCTTGTAATTTCTTCAGCTGTTTCTTCTATGAGGAACAGCAAAAAGGGGGAGAGGTTCTTGAGCTGAAATGAGAAGGTCTGGTATAGGCAGCGTTCGCAGCTTAATAGGTATTCTTTTCATCTTTAGATGTTTTTTCCCTCCAAAGGGAAGGGAATACCGACAACTGTGCAGTATGGTGTGTCCTGCCCCCCTGTGGACACTGAGGGAGTTACCGGTGGTGAATCAAAACTGCTGGACCTGGTGAAGTTTTCAAGGGGCTTGCAAGATAAGCAAGGGATAGTGAAATCTACATTAACATTAGTTTGAGAAATTAGAGGGTCCCCTGTTAGGTGTGTGAAGCACACAAAACATCCATAAATAAAGATCTACCTGCCCAGCGATACAGAATCAAAGCAAACGGAATTGCCCTGTTACTATCTGAAATCTGTGTTGTTGTTGTCTTTAAAGCATTATTTCATACTAACCCAGGGAGAGAAGATTCTCTTAAGTAAACAGTTTATCTTAGGGTAGGGGAAGGATGGAGTGGGAAATTGGAGTTGCCAGATACAAATTAGGGACATAAATAGAGAGAATGGATAAACAACAAGGTCCTACTATACAGCACAGGGAACTACATTCAATATCGTGTGGTAAACCATAATGGAAAAGAATATAAAAAAGAATGTATATAACTGAATCACTTTACTGTACATCAGGGATTAACACCACATTGTAATCAACTATACTTAATTAAAATAAATAATACAATAATTTAAAACGAGCTTATATCTTGCATTATGCCACTTTTCCATTAGACTGTCACTTGAAGAGCAGCTTTTATGACAGAAGTGACAGAGGAGATTAACTTTTACCATGGGCCCTGTGTGGTTAGTCGCCCAGTCATGTCCGACCCTGCGACCCTATGGACTGAAGCCCACCAGGGTCCTCTGTCCATGGGGATTCTCCAGGCTAGAATACTGAAGTGGGTTACCATCTCCTCCTCCAGGGGATCAAGCCCACATCTTCTGTGTCTCCTGCATTGCAGGTGGATTCTTTACCCGTTGAGCCATCAGGGAAGGGGGCCCTACTCACAGGGGAAGTAACCATTCTGTAAAATCTCTTGAAATATATTCTAGGAGGATAGTCTAACACCTGAAATTTGCACAAATGAAATACTTTCTTTAGTTTGTGGTACTGTTTTCATAATGTCCCAGTTAAACAAATGGGGATCAGGTACGATCCCCATTCATCCTAAAGGAGATCAGTCCTGGGTGTTCATTGGAAGGACTGATGCTGAAGCTGAAACTCCAGTACTTTGGCCACCTGATGTGAAGAGTTGACTCATTGGAAAAGACCCTGATGCTGGGAGGGATTGGGGGCAGGAGGAGAAGGGGACGACAGAGGATAAGATGGCTGGATGGCATCACCGACTCAATGGACATGAGTTTGAGTAAATTCCGGGAGTTGGTGATGGACAGGGAGGCCTGGCGTGCTGTGGTTCATGGGGTCGCAA